AAAAAAAATGTTAAAATGGCAAATATTATGTTACATGTATTTTACTACAAGACGAAAAAATGTAGAAAATAAACCAACAATTACTTAGAGATGGGTTCTAAAATTCGTAAATGTATGACTACAAGGTGAGTGATAGTCTCTTCCTTAGATGGTTGATCAAAACCAAACCAAACCCACTGCCATCAAGTCAATTCTGACTCAGAGCAACCCTGTAGTGCAGGGTAGAATTGCCCCAGAGGGTGTCCAAGACTATTAATCTTTATGGAAGCAGACTGCCTCATCTTTGTCCCACAGAGCAGCTGACGTGTTCAAACCGCTGACCTTTTGGTTAGCAGTGCAATGCTTTAACCACAGTGCCACCAGAGCTCCTAGATAGATGGTTGACAGAACTATGGAAAGCCAAACATAGAGTAACAAAGGAAACAAACTAATTCGCCAATTTATCTGTTTATATTATAGTTACTTTAGTATATTTTACGGGAGCTCTGGTGGCATAGTGGATAAGGCACTTGACTGCTAACCAGAAGGTCAGTGGTTCAAATCTACAAGCTGCTCCACAGAAGGAAGATGGGGCTATCTACTTCTGTAAAGATTTACAGCCTCGGAAACCCAATGGGAGTCACTATGAGTCAGAAACAACTCGATGGCAGTGAGCTTTTTTGTTTTGTTTTGTTTGTTGTTGTTGTTATGTGCCATTAAAATGTTTTAAGCCTCAGTGACTCAAAAACATGTATGAAGACAGCAACAGATTTTTGGTTTAAATATTCACCATTTCAAAAGTCACATCATTTCATATTCCAGACCAGCAATTAGACCATATATGGTCAAAGAAACTGAAATCTAATTAGTTAATAGCATTTCTTAACTTATTTAAACTTAAGCTTATTAGTCTCCAGGGTAGATGAAAAAAATCCCCTAGACAGATTAATTTTATAATTTTGCCCCAAAACATGTATATTTTAAGCACTTAAGCCAGAATAATGTATAAAATAATAGCTTTCCTTCCTTTCTAAAGAGAGCGTTTTCATCTACTCAGATCTTGACCTATATGGTTCAACTAAGGTTCTTACTATGACTTTTCTTCTGTTTGCATTCAACAATGGCAGACTCAGTAATTCAGATGAACCTTCCTGCTGAAGATTACCAGAGAAGCTGGCCATTTTTTGTTTGTGTGTTTAAATATAGTTGAATGCATCGGAGAACTAGCAGAATAGTGAAACAAGGCTAGGATCTATATAAAAGTTGAGAGAGAGGAGGCCAGCATTTAGGCCATTTTCCCTCTGAGGGCATCTGCCAATTTAAAAGGAGTTAGGTGAGAGGCTGAACAGAGCTTTTGACAAAAGTAGAACAGCTCTAACAAGGACTGTAGGCTAACTTCAAACTAATGGAAAATCCCTGGAATTGTATTAAGGTGACACGGAATTATTTGTACTCCTAAATGCCTTGCACTCCATTGAGCAACCTTTCTCAATTAGGGCACCTCAACTGAACTACAGAACAAAGAAAATGTCTGACTATATACTCAATTCTGTAACACTCTAGACGCCAAAACAAACACAAACTCACTGCTATCTAGTTGATTCCGACTCATTGCAACACTACAGGACAGAGTAGAACAGCTCCATTGGGTTTCCAAGGCTGTAAATCTTTAGGAAGCTGACTGTCTCACTGTTCTCTTGTGGAACAGCTGATGGATTCAAACTGTCAATCTTTTACATAGCAGCTGAATGCTTTAACCACTACACCACCAGAGCTCCTTAGGGTTGCCATATTTGTTGTTCTTGTTGTTGTTAGGTGCTGACAAGTCGATTCCGACTCATAGTGACCCCACGCACAACAGAACAAAACACTTCCTGGTCCTGCACCATCCTCAAGGTGCCTGCTATTAAGCATAGCCCATCATCACATCCACTGTGTGGATCCATGTCATTGAGGGTCTTCCCCTTTTTCTCTGACCCTAACTTTACCAAGCATGATATCCTTCTCCAGGGACTGGTTGCTTCTGACAACATGACCAAAGCAGATGAGATGAAATCCAGCCATTCTCGTGTCTATGGAGCATTCCAGCTGCACTTCTTCCAGCATAGAGTATTTATTCTTTTGGCAGACCATGGTATTTTCAGTATTCTTTGCCAACATCTAAATTCAAAGGCATCACTTCTTCTTTGGTCTTTTTTATTCAATGTCCAGCTTTCACATACATATGAGGTGACTGAAAATACCATGGCCTGGGTTAGGTGCACATTAGTCTTCAAAATGACATCTTTGCTCCTCAATACTTTGAAGTGCTCTTTTGCAGCAGATTTTCCCAGTGCAAAATTACATGTGATTTCTTGACTGCTCCTTGCATGGATGTTGACTGTAGATCCAAATAATATGAAATATTTGACGATTTCAATCTTTTCTCCATTTATTGTGATGTTTCCTATTGGTCCAGTTGTGAGGATTTTCATTTTCTTTATGTTGAGGTGTAATCCATACTGTAGTATTTCATCATCATCAGTAAGTGCTTGAAGTCCTCTTCACTTTCAGCAAGCAAGGCTGTGTCATCTGCGTATTGCAGATTGTTAATGAGTCTTTCTCCAATTCTGATGTCATATTCTTCTTCATATAGTCCAGCTTCTTGGATGATTTGCTCAGCATACAAACTGAATAAGTATGGTGAAAGAATAGAACTATGACACATGCCCTTCCTTATTTTAAACCATGCAGTATTCCCTAGTTCTGTTCAAGTCCAGATTCCTTGTGAGCACAATTAAGTGCTCTGGAATTCCCGCTCTTTGTAATGTTATCCATAATTTGTTATGATCCACATAGTCAAATGTTTTTGCTTAGTCAATAAAACACAAGTAAACATCTTTCTGGTATTCTTTACTTTCCATCAAGATCTATCTGACATCAACAATGTCCTCTTCTGAATCCAGGTTGAATTTCTGGAAGTTCCCAGTCAATATACTACTGCAAATGTCTCTGAATTATCTTCAGCAAAATTTTACTTGCATGTAATATTAATGATATTGTTCAATAATTTCCACATTCTGTGAGATCACTTTTCTTTGGAATGGGCACAAATATGACTTCTTTCAGTCAGTTGGTCAAGTAGCCATCTGTCTTTCAAATTTCCTGGCATAAACAAGTAAGCACCTCCAGGGCTGCATCTGTTTGTTGAAACATCTCAATGGGTATTCTGTCAATTCTTAGAGCCTTTTTTTTTTTTTTTTTTGCCAATTTCTTCAATGCAGCTTGGACTTCTTCCTTCAGTCCCCCTGGTTCTTAATCATATACTACCTACTAAAATGACTGAACATTGACCAATTCATACAGTGACTCTGTGTATTCCTTCCATCTTTTTTTTTTTTTTTTTTGATGCTCCTGTATCAGTCAATATTTTGCACAGAGAAACCTTCAGTATTGCAATTTGAGGCTTGAATTTTTTCTTTAATTCTTTCAGCTTGAGAAATGCCAACTGTGTTCCTCCCTTTTGGTTTTCTAATTCTAGGTCTTTGTACATTATATTATAATATTTTACTTTGTCTTCTTAGCATATTTAGCCATTAAAATATAGAAAACCCAGTTAAATTTTAATTTTTAGTATAAGTGTTTTTAGTATAAGTGTTTCCTATGCAATATTACATGTGAGAGAAATATCAGAAATAGCAGATAATAGAAACACATCCACAGGGAATCCATACAGTGGAATAAGAAGAGATATACCTAAAATTAGCCATGCTTACTATGTTCGAGGAGATGAAAGACAAGGTTGAGAATTTTGGCAAAAAATCAGAAACTATATAAAAGGGTATAGTAGATTTAAAAGTCAAGGAACTTCATAAAAACTGAGTCAAATCTCTAATGAGAAAAGCAGTTTATTATGTAAACAAATGGAAGAAGGCAGCAAATGTGAAAAGCACATGGACAGAAAGAGTAAGAGGGAAAGACATTCTGATCTAAAAGTATGATTCCTATACAAGTATGCAAAGTATACATGAGTCCCCCTGTAGTCAGGGGGAGTCAAATAAAAGAATTAATAACAATAGAAGAAAATAATAAAGATAAATTTAGAATGTACTTAACTGAGAAAAAACAGATAAGCTCAAGAGTTGATTCTTCAAAATACCCAAGAAGCGAAGACTAGGTTTTCCAAAGTATGTTTCATGGAATATTAGTCACATGAGATATTAAAAGATGTTCCTTATTTAAATATGATTGGGAAACACTGAATAGTATTGTCACCTTTGGGGGATTTGCAATGTATATGAGCATATTAAAAGCCTCTGAAGCATAGTATAGTAAAGACACTTTAACTTTGTTTATGAAAGGAGTATCAATATAATACTCCTTTCTGCTTATTTTGTAAAGCTAGTATTCTGGCTAACAAAGCTACTCATAAGAAAGGAAACATAGATAAAAACAGAAATAAGGCATTTAATAACTGATACAGAGATTATTAGAAAAATTTTTAAGTGCCAGCGTGAAATGTTTGATCACAGAAATGACAATGTCATAGAGTTCAACCTAATAAATCTGACAACCTATATGAAATAGATAAGAGCACTGGTAGAGCAGTAGTTGAGGACCTTCTCCTTTTTAGTTGACCCTCCAGTTTACCAAGCATGATATCCTTCTCCATAGAATGGCCATTCTGACAACATGACCAAAGTAGGTGCGACGAAGTCTGGCCATTCTCACTTCCAAGGAGCATTCTGGCTGCACTTCTTCCAGGACAGAGTTGTTAGTTCTTTTAGAAGCCCATAGTACTTTTAGTATTCTTCACCAACACCACAACTCAAAAGCACCAACTCTTCAGTGTTCCTTATTAATTGTCCAACTCACACGCACTGTAAGAGGCAACTGAAAATGCCATGGCTTGGGTTAGGCACACCATATATATACATATATACAGTAGGCTGCTCGCTATGATGTATGACAGGTCTGAGACCAGCAGGTAAGATGGCAGGCCGCTGGCTTACAGGCTACGAAGGCAACAATAAGCAAACCAGCAGGCAATATAGCAAGCCAGTGGTTCAAGTCCAAAAACCAGAGATCAAATGATGATAAGCCAGATGCAGGATCCAGATTGACCCCAAAGCTAGAGATCTTCCCCAGGATGTCCAAATATATTGGAAGCAGGCCACAGTTTGGAGGAAACTCCCTTTCAACTGACTGGCTGCTCACAGCAGATCTCATCATGGAGATAATTATATCATATCAAATCTCATCATGAGAATGACATTATCATAATTGCTAAACCACTGAGAATCATGACTCAGCTAAACTGACACACAAACTATCACAAGATTGAACAAAAACAGCAAACATGTGGAGGCATATGGAGTGGGGAATTACCTACTGTCCCAGCACAGAGACCATTTTGAATTATTATAAGCAGAGATCCAATTGGGGTAGGAACATGATAACTAGCTTCACTTCTGCAGGACTGCACCAGCCCCGACATCACTGATCTGCAACCAGAGAGGTATGATCTTCTCCCTCACTCCACACAACCTCCCAGTGACCAGCAGTGTACCCCCCAACCTCTACCCACCCAGCTGCTGGTATTTCCCCCTATTGCCAGTACTGTGCCACTTTCTTTTCCTTTCCTCTTTGTTCTCCTCTCTTCTTCCTTTTATCCTTTCTTTTCTTTTTTTCTTCCTCTTCCCCTCCCCCCACTCTTTTTTTTCAGTCCCACAGAACAGGCACCTTACCCTGTGACACCTCCACAGTCAGCAGCACTCATCACCACTGCTCCACAGTTGGTAGTGTATGCTCCTGTGAACTGAGTCTGGTGTTCCTGCCACAGTCATGGCTAGCACTTGTATCAGTATTGTGCTTTATTTTTTCTCTTTTATCTCTGTTTAGTTTGTTCTTTTTCATTTTCTGTTGCCTTTTCCTTCCTCTTCCTACTCTTCTTGTTTCCTTGGTCCTTTTCTTTTTCTTCACTTTCTTCTTAGTCTATCCCTCTTCCTACATTTTATTTATGTTGTTGTTTTTCTTTTTATCTTCTTCTTCCCCTTCACCCCAAGTTTTCCTTTTTTTGATACTGTGGAGTAAGTGTAGTGCCCCTACATTGCATTTAGTAGTGCCTGCACCTGACCCCCTGCATTTGGGGTTTCATTCCTGCTGCAGCCATGTTTGGTTACTGGCATTTGTACCAGTACTGTGCCATTTCCTCCCTTCTCTCTGCTTGTTTTTTTTCTTTTTAGTTCTTCTCTTCTCCCATCCCATCCCATTCATCTTTTTTTTTTTTTCTTCCTCTCCCTTCTTTCCTTTTTTTCCCAGCAGTCAGGAGACAGAAAACACACACAACCATATCCACCACACCTGCCACACCTCCTACTGGGTAAAGACCACCACCTATTCCAGCACCATTGGATCAAATGCAGATGGTGGCCATCATCTGTCCAGCCTGTTCTTAGATGATTGACATGACCAGCAATGAGAGATCTGCACCCACAATCCCAACAGTTACCAAAGCCACCAGAGATAGGTGGTGAGAGCACTAGTGCTGCCAAACTAGCAACCAGAGCAGCACATCTGCCTGCCCCATTGCCCAGATATATTAAAACAAAACAAAAAATCAGAGAGAAACAAATCAACATATAATCAACATATAAATACTATATATAATACCACAATGTCTCAGAGACTACAGACAACTTCAAATAATAATAATAATAATAATAAAACAAAACAGGACATGATGGCTCAAGCAAGAAACCAAAATACAAGACCAGAAAATCCTCCAAAGGAAGAAATGTATTGGAACTACTTGATAAGGAATTCAAAAGATTTATACCTGTAAGAGTTAAGAAAGAGATCAAGGAAAACACAGACAAAACTAGAATAATTCAGGAAAACAATATAAGAACAAACTGTAAAAATAAATGGAAAATTAGAAACCACAATTAGCGACAACCAACAGAAATCCAGAAGATTAATACTAAAATTTCAGAAATAGATAATGCATTAGAAGGGCAAAGGAGTAGAACTAAATAAATGGAAGACAGAATTCATGAAATGGAATACAAATCTCTCAATACTAATTTGTTAGAAGAATAATCAGAAAAAAAGAATTTTAAAAAATGAAGAAAGCTTAAAAATTATGGGAGACACCATCAAGAGAAATAACTTTTTTTTTTTTTTTTGTCCTTTTTTTGCTACTGGAACAGAAAGAGATGCAAAAAGCACAGAGAAAACTGTAGATCTGTTGGAAGGAAACATCCTTAATATCATGAAAGATGAGATCATGTGAATTCAAGAATCTCAAGGAACCCCAAATGGGACAGACCCTAAAAGAAAATCACCAAGACATATAATAAAGTTTCAAAAAATGATGACAAAGACTCCTGAAAGCAGTTCAGGAAAGACAAAAAGTTACCTACAAAGGAGAATCACTAAGACTAAATTCTCATTTCTTAGCAGAATCCATGCAGGCAAGAAGGCAATGGGATGACATATATAAAACGCAGAAAGATAAAAATTGCCAACCAATAATTATATATCCAGCAAAACTGTCTCTCAAATATACAATAGTGAAATTAGGAATTCTCAGACAAACAGATACTAAAGGAAAACTAGATCAACCCTACACTCAATATTAAAAGGAATCCTTTGGACAGAGAACCAACAATGACAGGCAACAACTGGAGTTTACGATGCATGATAATATAACATGGAAATAAGATACAGAAGTATCAAAAATAAAATAAACTTACAACACTAAAAATAGGGAACCAGAGATGACAATTTGCAAACAATGACAACTAGAAAGCAACTAGGGAATAAATGATGTAGTTACAGAACTTGCAAATGGAGAGGACTTCAAGAAGATGTTGAGATAGAATGGACTATTCTAAATTTGGGAACATAATAATAAATTACAGGGTAACCTCTAAAAAAATTAATAAACCTTCTTGCCGAAAGAAAAGAAAATTATAAAGTCTCAATAAACACTAAAATAACAGTGACAAAGGAAATGATAAGATAATCCATAAACAAAATGGACTCAGCACAGAAATTTATATGGAACAAAGAAACCACCAATGTTACACACACACACACAGATATGGCAAAATGACGGCACTAAATTCACACCTATCAATAATTACATTGCATGTAAATGAATTAAATACACCAGTCAAGAGACATAGAGTGGCAGAATGAATAAGAAAACTTGATCCATCAATATGCTGTCTACAAGAGACACACCTTAAGACACAAAGACAAAAATAAGCTAAAATAAAAGGTTGGAAAAACATACATCAAGCAAATGGCAACCAAAAAAAAGAAGGTGTGTCAGTATTAATTTGTGATAAAATAGACGTTAAGGCAAAACCAGCAAAGGAGAAAAGGAAGAACTTTAGATAATGATTAAAAGATCAATTCAACAACAGGACATAATCATAATAAATATCTTTTCACCCAATGAAAAAAAAACCCAACATACATAAATCAAATTTTAACAGAATTGATAAAAGAAATAGGTATCTCCACAGTCATAGTTGTTGTTGTTGTTGTTGTTGTTATTTTGCCATCGAGTCGGCCCTGACTCATAGCGACCCCTCCTTGGGTTTCCGAGGCAGTATCACTACGGAAGTAGGATGCCCCACCTTCCTTCCGAGGAGTGGCTGGTGGGTTTGAACCGCCAGCCTTCTGGTTAGCAGTCAAGTGCCTTAGCCACTATGCTACCAGAGCTCCCACAGTCATAGTAGGAGACTTTAATACACCACTTTCAATGAAGAACAAAACAACAAGAAAGAAACTTAATAAACAGATCTAAAGAACAGAATCCACCATGTAGACCTCATAGACGTATATAGAACACTCCACCCAACAATAGTATATATACATTCTTTTCTAGTGTACATGTAACATTCTCCACAAAGCAAGCCTCAATAAATTAAAAAACATCACAATACCACAACGCAGATCACAATACATGAAATTGGAAATCAATAATAGGAAGAGCAAGGAAAAAAAAAAAAATACATGGAAACCAAACAAACTCTGGGGTAAGAGAATAAAAAATGAAATTTAAAAATTCTACGAATCAAATGCAAATGAAAACAAAACTATGGTAGATAACTAGGTCGTGTGTCAGTTTGGCTGGGCCATGGTTTCAAGTGGCTGGGCAGCTGGGTGTAGTTATTCCCCATGGTGAGATTTTAATTATCTCCATGGTGGAATCTGCTATGAATGGCTAAGCAGTTGCCTTTGGGATGTGGCCTGTTCCCAGTATATAAGGAGAAGCTTTGAGGAAGGTCTCTAGTTTTTGGCACATTTGAATCCTGCATCTGGCTGAGTCTTCATCTCCAATTCTTGGACTTGAACCAGTGGTCTGCTGTGTTGCCTGCTGATCTTGGGACTATGCCATTTTAGCTGCCAACCTTGGGTTTGTCAGCCTCAGCAGCCAGCAGCTGCTTGAGTTAGGAGATGCCTCCAGCTCCTGTGGGCTTAATACAAAGGCAGAGCTGAAGCCTAAGTTCAAGGGACCTTCAGCCAGCCCCTAGAATTGGCACTCTGAATTTGGACTTCCAGCTTCCTAAACTGTAAGAGAATAAATTCTTGTTCATTAAAGCCATCCACTTATGATATTTTTGTTATAGCAGCACTAGAGAACTAAGACAACAACATACCAAAATTCTGGGGACACAGTAAAAGCAGTACTCAAAGGAACATTTTTTTTAAAAAAAAATTTTATTGTGATTTGGGTAAAAGTTTACAGAGCAAATTCATTTTTCATACAGCCGTTCATACACATTTTGTCTCATGATATTGACTGCAATTCCCTACAATGCAACAGCTCTCTTCCCACTTCCTCCCTGTCGTTACTGGTCCTCTGTGTCTTTTCCTCCCATGCACTCCCACCCCTTGATCTGTCTCCCTGTGCATACAATGCCCTTCTGCTTTCCCATGATTGATTATTCCAAGGAGTATATCTACCTGGTGCCAATGTTCACCACATATACCTGTCTATTGTTTGGGTGGAAGCCACAGAAGTGAGTTCAGTCTAGACCTGAAGGGTAGCTAGGAGCCATAGTCTCGGGGGCTCACCAGGCTCTATCAGACCGGCAAACCTGGTCTTTTTTTTTTTTTTTTAATGGTTTTGAGGTTTTTTTGCACATTGTTCTCCCACTCTATCTAGGATACCCTGCACTGATCTCCTTTGAGTAGTTTATAGTGGTAGCTGGGCACCATCTAGTTCTACTCACAGGAAAATTTATAGCAATAAATGCACACATCAAGAAAGAAGAACCAAAATCAACACATTAACCCAACATCTCCAACAATTAAAAAAGAACAGCATTAAAAAAGCCTACAGTCACAAAAAGACAGGAAATGATAGATTCAAGCAGAAATAAAGGAAATAGAAAAAAGAAAAACAATAGAATTAACAAGATCAGAAGTTGGTTTCTCTGAAAGGGTGAATAAAATCGACAAACTACTGTCAAATTT